ATCTTTGGTGGAAGAAGCAATTGACAAGGGATCAAAATGCCTGGGTTCTACTCCTAGCTTCCATTTCTCTGTACATCATGATTTGAGTAAGTGATGCCATATCTGTGTAATCTAATTCTTTCATCTATAAAATGAGGGGCATGAGCTGGATTAATATTTCCTAAAGTGTGATCGATATAGGAGACCATGTTAGGCAGCATACAGATGAACTTTTCAATTGTTACATATATAATGCTATCTATAATGCTTGATAAATACAATTAAGAATAGCATGTGTTCCTTCTTGGATGCTCAGGAATGAAGTATTCTGCTCCATTGTATATCAGCTGTTCACCCCTGGTTAAACAGAGAACCAAAAAGAAAGGAGATGTATTAATGGCTGACCACTTTTTGAACATATACTCTTTTCACAATCCTCACAGTTGAGCATGGAGGTTCAAACACCCTTCTATAACTTTCAGACTAATGGAAAAGATACTGCAATTTGCTCCTGTATTGATGTCTGTAGAGCCCACAAACTCATAGCACAGTTGTGTCAAGAGAAAACCACTAATGAAACTCCAAGGGCATCTCTGCATTTCTATCCCTCAGACTCACTGAGCACTCTGGTTGGGGTATGAGAACCCTCAAACACTACCAAACCAAATAGCTTGTTTCTCTGGGTCCATATTCATAATTCTGTTGTTGCAGAAAGCTAAGAGTCTCCCCAGCCAACCAGAAACTAGATCCACTCCCCTGTGCACAAATCACACAGGTATCCCTGTTATCAAGAGATAACATGGAAAAGGACCACATAAGGACCAGGGGCAGATTTGTTGGTCAGCTTCACCTATTGTTTGTCTCCTGAATCATTCTCTTTCATTTTTTCTTCTATACTTCTTAAGCATCTCCCATGTACAAGTTATAAATTGAATAACTAAAAAGCATTCCTCCCCAAGGAAAACCTAGAAAGGTATTTTCTGTGCTTTCCAATGCAGAAACCTGTTAAATGAGCTCCCATATAGGAATCTAGTTATTGGCACTGCAGCTCAGTATAATGTTATGTCTGAGCCTTGCTCCATAAAGCTCACGCAGATTCATCCTAGCATTGATAATAAGTTATATCAGAAGCATGAAAGTTTCATTTTCTGTGCTTAAAACCTATGAGATAAAGAAACCAAACAAGAAAGCCATCACAGTCAGTTCAAATAATTGGATGGGATAAGGCCAATGTGAAATAAAGCATAACTCTCAGCCATAACCATAGGTAAAATAACATAATCTCTAACAGGAGAGTAGAGAGTCAAGCCTTAATCTATACTTAAATTGTCTTGTTATTTTATCTTATATTATCTGCATTGCATCATCTATATCCAGGAATAACTATTAATTGAAAAAAATATTTTCTACTAATACAATTCAATCATTTAATTAATTCAATTTAATTTAAGACTTACAACCATGTAGTAAGATATATGTTATTACAATTGATGAAGTGTAAGTGCCCTAAATTTCAGTAATTTTGTCCATGGCCACATAATTAGTGACAGATATAGCACTGTCATGCTCAATGCCTATGCCTATTCAATGCCTATGAATATTCAATGCCTTCAATGCCTATGCCTATTAATCACCACATGAAACCTGCTATCACTAAAGCAAGCAAGAGAAATGCCTAGGTTGAAACAAAAACCTCACAGGATATTCTTATAAAAAATACTCAAGCCTCATGAGGGAAGGTCTTTTGCTGTCTGTATATGTCTGTTTTGTTCATTACCCTACTCCTTATACCTACAAAAATACCTGCCATTTATTACATGTTTAATACATAATTGTATAATGAATAAATCAATGTGTTATCTGTCCTTCAAGACCTAACTAAAGTTGCTATTTTTCCATGATGCTTCCCTTTGTCTTTTCTGTATCTCAGTGATCTCCTCCTGAGAAAACCTTTAAAACTCAATTTTTCCACATACTTGAAATTTTACCTATTGGTTAAGTTTTCGTGCATTTTATTTTGTTCCTCAACTAATTTATTATTAATAATTTATACAAGTATGCTCTAGAATAAATCTGAACTTTAATTTCTTCACTCTGAAGACTTAAATGGAGGTTCATCACAGAAAGAAATGTCTAATTACTGAACACATCTAGATTTACTGTTAGCTCTAGAATTCAGAGCATTTTGAAGAATTGACACTTGAGCAATCTCCAGACTAGTTACAAAGAACAGTCCAGAGCCTGGCTTCATTTGTATACCAATTGTCAATTCACTAAGCCTTGGAAATGAATTTATGTGTAAGGCCCTCTAGATAAAAAAAAATCAATCTTATTCAACAATATCCTAGAATGTATAATCATCCTTAAATATTTATGTGAGTTGGTGATAACAGATCAGACACATTCCTATGAATTTTTCTTAAGACAGTTGTTATTTTGTTTAATATAATTTATTTTGACAGAAGCAAAACCTATGAACTATAGAAATTAAAAGTACATATAAGATAAAAATAATAAAAACATTATATTCCCACCACCAAGATATTACCATTTTAATACCTTAGTATTAATATATATCCTTTCTCTTTTTCTTAGTTGATAGCTGCCTTTCAAATAAATATTTATCTCATCTAGTTTTCAAACCATATTTACATTTCTCTAATTGTCCCATAAAGGTACTCACAGCTAATTCGTGCAAACCAGTATTTGCAATTGTAGGTAAGCATTCTGTTTCTTAAGTCTCTGTTCTAGAACACTGGTGGTTGAAGGGCCTGACACAGCTATTCAGCTGCCTTTGAGTCACTATGCCTGCCAGTGTCTGCTGGTGGAACAGTCTGGGAAGAAATGTCCCTCAAAGGAGCAATGGCAGAAGGTGATGAAAGAGTGGTACACCACCTGGAAAGACAGCTTGATTAGCAGCATGGCTAAATGGGTGAAGCAGATCTCTCCCCACAGGATGCTTTCTTAGAATGTGGCATAGATGCTTTCTGAGAACCTGAATAGCCATGAAATGACCACTGATTGTCAGAGTGAGGAAATTTATCAAGATACTGCCATTGACCACATCAACTTTTTGCTCTTTTACTTAGTTGACATTCTACTACAAGCCAGATCCCAGACCTAGCTGATCTCTCCCTTCCAACCCAAACTATCATCTACCTCAGTAGCACTAATGCACCATTACTCTCTTGCCTTTGGGAACAGCCAGATGTAGCAGTTAACTTTGCCAGCTGAGTGAGGAAATCTTCATGCTATGTAGACCTCTAGCTTCAAGCTCAAATCCAATTGTGTCTGAGAGAGAAATAGTAGCTCACTTGGGGAATTATATACTGCTTAAAAAAAATAATAATGTTCTACTCTACCTCCTAAGCCTCCGTGACAACCTCCATCCAGGTGCAGGTTTGTGCACTGGCTGTCAGTGCCTGGGAAGCACAGTGCGCTCACCACACAGATATAGGAGGCTGAATCGCTGAGCTGGGAGGCTGTGACATGCAGAGAGCTTTGCTTGGTGTTTGCATCTAGAGTTGCTGTGTATCTTCCTTTTGACTCTTTGTTCTTGCTGTAAGTCATGATTATCAAGGAAACAGGACCTTTCCCAGTCTCTTGTTTGTACCACCGTAAGTTGTTAAAGGGGCTCACTGTATGGTTGCATTGAAGAGTGCAGTTTTCTCCCTCCAAGACGATCAGGGACTGAGGACTCTGCTCCACTTGGTTTTGGCCACTTACCCCTATTCAGAAAGCAAAGTGACAGTCAAGAGATCAATCATCCAGTCTTAATTCTTTCTATTTTGCATTCCTCTTTATCCCCCACACCAAATCCCTGACGAATGGAAAATGGCCCTATTTTCTTCCCTCCTCTTAACCCAATGTTTTACACCTTTGCCCAAAATCCTAAGTTAATGTCCCCTACATTTACTGTCGTCAACCTAGCTAAAACTCTCCACTTACAACAAAAATAAAGCCACAAAACCACGAAGGAGTTCCTCAGATGCTTCTCCATTTTTATTCTGCAGAGATCTGCCCCCCAAAGTCAACTTGTCTATTTAACATCTTCTCTTCACTTAACGTTAAACAAAGGGTTTCTCAGAAAGTAGGCCCAGCCAATCAGAGACCATATTAGCCTCCCTCCACACATTACACATTCAGACCTTCAGACAGGGCCAATGCAAACGCTGCCATCTTGGGGCCAAAGCTACGGTTGCTCAAAACCTGTGCTTAAGCTTTTTGCTAGATTTTTCCTCACTGTTCCCAAGCTAAGCCCCTATGAAACCCAGTAAATTAGTAATTAAGATATATGTTTGCAAAAAAGCCACTGAAAGTAATGTAATTAAAAATGAAGACATGAAAAAGAAACAGAAAAGAAATGTTTTTAAAAATAATGAAGAAAACAATAAGATGTTTGAAGACCTCAGTCTTCATTCTAGTTCTATGTGATATTGGGTAGGCGAGGTAAGCCTCAGCTTTCTCATCTGAAGATAGGTATGGTAATTAACTTACTATTTTTGTAAGATTTTAAAAAGAAGGGGAGAGAGGGAAGGGGAGCTAGGCCCTGGCTGGCTGGCAGAGGACGCAGTGGCGCGTGTTAGCTATAGTAGTATCAGACCACGCTGAGCGAAGCATGTGGCATGCTCAGCGCTGCTGGGAACTCACGCGCTGCGTCTGCGGTCGCCGGTGCGTCCCTGCACCGTCAGGGTCGCGGCCTTCAGCCCACCTGAGCCAGAAAGCAGAGGAAACCCTGCACCTTGACCCAGAGCTGCTGAAGTTCCTGGTGTGCCTGCTTCTCCAAGAAGCTGCTCAGATATGAAGCATCAACAAATAAATGAATTCCCAATAAACAGTTGGGAATAGCCAAGCATTGATGGGATTCCTAATGTGATACCACAAGCAGCTAGGATGACACAGCAAAATGAGAAGCAAGAAGCGGAGCAGCACTAGGTCATAATTTTAAAAAACACAACCAAATTTTCTTAATACCATATACCTTATTAAACAGGGTAGTGGATAATAAGTGGAGGAGAAGAATGTTTCTGTCTCCTCCTACGTTGACTGTTCTTATTCCATTGGTTTCTTTCGCAGGACTGTTCTACTCAGCCACTGTGAAAGAAAATTTCTCACAGGGCTGCTCTAACACAATGAGCCTTCGCTTTTACACTCTGCTCTTGCCTGTTACCATATCAGTGTATGTGTTCTTCCACCTTTGGACTTGGATGGGTATTAAACTTCTCAGGCATAATTAATACAACCACAGTCAAGATGGTATATATGTTAATATGTCTTGAGCATCTATCTCTGAAGGTTCAGCCAGACGGAAATATTGGAGACCCATTTATTATAGTTTGCAGGAAAGATGGTTCACTTGTGTTTGTCAGGCTTAGGACTACGGGAGGCTTAAGCTGCAGAAGCTTCTTTTGTTGTAGTGTTGTTCTCCCCTTGTTTTTTGAAAGTTTTGACTTACAACTGCTGTATCAGAAGGAACATTTTTATGCAGTGTCTTGTTATAAATTAACACCCTCGATCATCATCTGATGACTATTTCTTATCCTATTCATCTGAAAATTAGTCATTTGTAATTTTGTTTGTTTGTTTACCTTCAAGGTCTTTGGTAAAGTCACATAGTAAGGATGACTGAAATAATTCCAAAGGGCTATGTTAGAATAGTTATAGAGAAATGCATTTGAACTAGTGTAATATAAAACCATACAACAAAATGGAAATCTCATGTACTTACCAAAAAGATAGATGATTCATGTAAAGGCCTATGGTAGTGGCTGATATGAACTTAGCCCTCAACTAAAAGATAAATGCCCTTAGTTTAGAGGTTTTTTTAATCCATTCTATCCTCTGCTATATTGTCAGTTTCTAGAATATGGCCTGTCAAGAAATAGGCACATAATAAATTGTTAGAGTGAATGAATGGTAATTTTTGCTCTGGTTATGATAGAGATATTTATTTTTTCATATATTTTTAATTCAACAATTATTTTTTAAAGGCCTACTCTCTGTCAGTTATGATGATAAGCGCCAAAGATAAGCAAAGGTCTTGTTTTCATGGAATTACAGTCTAATGAGACGGAAAACAGAGTGAGCACAGATGCAAGTGATTGGGGAAGTGCTGAAGCTTCTGAAAATTCTCTTCTTATTGCTTCTATTCGCAGTGAGATAAAAAGCCAACAAACAGTTAAGAGTGTGTATATAAAAGAATATATTGAGATTTAATGCACAGAGAAATTGAGAGAAAAGAATGAAATAGATATACCAAGGAAAATAAATTTTAAAAAGCTGACCTATTATACTCATATAAGACAAAGTAGACTTATAGAAAAGAATTACTAAAGGTAAAGAGGAGGTGATGGCTAATTTTATGCATCTACTTGGATGGGCCACAGTTCCCAGATATCTGGCCTAACATCAGTCTAGATGTTATTATGAAGGTATTTTTTAGATGAGATTAGCATTTGAGTAATGTAAATTACTCTCCATAATGTGGGTGGACCTCATCCAATCAGTTGAAGGTCTTAAGGGAGAAATACTGAGGTCCCCCAAATAAGAAGAAATTCTGCCTCCAGTCTGCATTCTGCAAAATCAACTATTCTATGGGTCTCCAGACTTACAGCCTGACCTACAGAAGTTGGATTTCCTAGTCTCCACAATTGCATGAAACAATTTCTTAAAATAAATTTCTCTATATAGATATAGATATACATAGATACATAGGCATAGATATCACAGTCTTAAATCTACATGCACCTAAATAATGTAAATTCACTGTTTGTAGGTCTTATATACTTTTGTGAACAACTGTTTTATTTCATAATAAAATGATTTTTAAATGTTGATGGTGATGATATTGTAGCTCAAAGAAATGGTTGATCCTTCAGAGATGCTTACTTCAGAAAGGACTAAAACACAGAATCAGTCTAGCAAAGCCAAGAAAGAGAAAGAATAAAGGACAGAGGACACAGGGAAAGAAGAGAGAGAAGGAGAGAGAGAGGTAGAAAGAGGGAATCTAAGTACAACAAACCTGTCCATACTCATTCTGCTTAAATTAGAAGCACTATGTTTGAAATATAATCATTTTTCAAATCTTCAGAGAACTATGATAATTATGGCAATAGATATATCCAAACATCATCAGAAAATATTCAAAAATTTTCCTCCAAAATAATGACAGCATCCCAAACACTGAAGCAGTAGCAGACTTTAAGGCATTTCAAGTAGTTGGTACTTGTCAGAACTCTAAAACAAAGTCTTAATTGTTTAATTCTCTTCTTCAGGAAAAACAAAAAGATTCAAAGTTGTTCTTGTTTTCCAAAGTCAGTTATCTGTTTCTCACTTGGTGGACAATTTATGAGCATAGTTATCTACTGCTTTTTCTTCATCCTCTCAAGTCAAAACAACCGACAGATTTGGGAAAACAGACAGTTCACATTCCTTGATGACACATCACTGTACACTCTCATGAAGTAGAGGAGTGGTTTATCTCTTCCTCCTTCTCTAATAGTATCCTTTCTATTCACATCATATTCTCTGTATTTATTTCTAGCATGGCCTTGGAGGTCATGGGCTATATATTACTCTCATATCCAGTGGGCTATTCGCATGATGCACCACTCTTAATAAAGTACAAAACCTTAATAGGAAAAATTAGGAAACAGGAAAAATGGACAAAGATAACATTTCAAATCAATGAAGAAAAACAAGCTAGTCAAGAATGGAAGATCACCCTAAGTAGCTGCCTCAAAATAAACAAACAAACAAAAACTTAAAGAAAATAAAAAGCCTTGACCTCAACCTTGTTTCTTTGACACACATACACACACACACACATACACTTCCAACACACAATATGCACATACAAAGATCTAAATATATAAATAATTGGAAAAAACTAAGGAAAATATGATATATTAATGAAATTCTATCATTCTGAAGTGGTATAGATTTTTAAGCAAGACTTATAACTCAGAGTCCATGAAAGAAAATTTTGATAAATTTAACTATATAATATTTTCAAGTTCTACATGACAAAAATACCATAAAGTTAAAAAGATAATAACAAACTTTTTAAAAAGGTATATACACACATATATGACATCATATAACAAAGCAAAGAAATAAGAATTAGAGCACAAATCAATGAAAGTGAAACGGAAAATCAATAGAGAAAACCAACAAAACCAAATGCTGATTCTTTGAAAAGATCACTAAAATAGATAAGCCTCTAGCCAAGCTAGCTGAGCAAAGAAGACAAAAAGATATTAAATTTACAATATCAGAAATGAACGAGATTATACCACAACAGATCTCATGGACATTTGCTTTAATCCATTTTCTGTGCCAAAACAGAAGACCTGAGACTGGGTAGTTTATAAAAAAAGACGTTTACTTGGCTCATGATTCTGGGGGCTCAGAGGCCCAAGATCTGGCAACCACATCTAGTCAGCATCTGGTGAAAGCTTCATGCTACATCATAACGTGGCAGAAAAGCAGAAGAGGAAGTGGGCATGTGCAAAAGAGACAGGGATCAAAGGCAGCTGGTTTGCTTTAGAACAACCTACTCTCCTGAGAACTAATCTAGTCTCAGGAAGACTAACACATTCTCTCAAGAAAGCCATTAATTCAACCTAATGACCTAATCACCTGTTAAATGTTCCCCTTCCCAACACTAATACACTGGCAATTAAAATTTAACATGAGTTTTGATGAAGACAAACCACATCGAAACCATAGCATTCTGTCTCTGGCCCTTCCAATCTCGTGCCTTCTCATGTGCAAAACATAATAATCCCATCCCAATAGTACCAAAAGTCTTAACTCATTCTAGCACCAACTCAGAAGTCAAAAGTCCAAAGTCTCACCTGACACTAAAAGCAAACTCTTTCCAGCCATGAGCCTGTAAAATTAAAGCAAGTTACCTATTTCCAAGACACAATGGTGGAATAGGCACAGGGTAAACATTCCCATTCCAAAAGGGACACATAAAACTTTGTTTCCAGATGACATAATCATCTATGTAAAAAATCCAAAAGAATTGACAAAAAAAACTCCTGAAAATAATAAGTAATTATAGGAAGTTTGTAAGATATAAGTTTAACATACAAAAGATTATATATCATATCTTGGAAAAGTTATTTATTATCATATACAATGACTTTCCTATATGCCAGCAATGAACAAGTGGAATTTGAAATCAAAATCACAATACTATTTACATTAGCACCAAAAACATAAAATATGTAGGTATAAATCTAAAAAAATATGTACCAAATCTACATGAAGAAAATTACAAACCTCTGATGAAAGAAATCATAAGACAACTAAAGAAATGAAATATTTCATGTTAATGGATAGGAAGACTTAATATTGTCAAAATGTTTATTCTTCCATACTTGATCTATAAGTTGAAGTCAATCACAACCAAAATCCCAGCAAGTATTTTTGTGGATATTGACAAACTGATTTTTTTCTGTTTTTATTTTTTGAGACAGAGTCTCACTGTCTTCTGAACTAGAGCATAGTGGTGTGACAAACTGATTTTAAAGCTAATGTGGAGAGACAAAAGAGCCAGACTATCCAAAACAGTTTTGAAGGAGAAGAACAAAGTCAGAGGACTGACACTACCTGACTTCTAAACAATATAAATCTACAGTAATCAAGAGAGCATGGCATTTATAAAAGAGGAGATAAATAGATCAATGAAACAGAATAGACAGCCCCAATAGACCAACATAAGTGTAGTCAACTATTTTTGATAAAGAAGCAAAGGAAATACAATGGAGCAAAGATAGTCCTTTTAATAAATGATGTTGAAACATCTGGACAAAACTAAACATACTCTTTCCATATGATCCAGCAGCTATGCTCCTTAGTATTTACACAAAGTAGGTGGAAACCTATGTCTACACTAAAACTTGCATAAAGATATTTATAGCAGCCTTATTCATAATTGGCAAAACTTGGAAGCAACAAAGGTGCACTTCAGGAGGTGAATATATAAGTACTGTGGTATATCCAAACAATGGAATATTGTTCAGTGCTAAAAAGAGATGAGCTATCAAGAAAACACAGAGAAACCTTAAATACAAATTACTAAGTAAAAGAAGTCAATCCAAAAAGACTGCACACTTTATGATTACAACTAAGTGACATTCTGCAAAACACAAAACTATGGAGGCAGTAAAAAGATTAGTGGTTGCTGAGGGTTTGATAGGGAAAAGAATAGATAGGCACAGCACAA